AGCCGTGCCGAGCCGTGCCGAGCCGTGCCGTGCCGTGCCGTGCCGAGCCGTGCCGTGCCGAGCCGTGCCGAGCCGAGCCGAGCCGTGCCGTGCCGAGCCGAGCCGTGCCGTGCCGAGCCGTGCCGAGCCGAGCCGTGCCGAGCCGTGCCGAGCCGAGCCGTGCCGTGCCGAGCCGTGCCGAGCCGTACCGAGCCGAGCCGTGCCGTGCCGAGCCGAGCCGTGCCGAGCCGAGCCGTGCCGAGCCGTACCGAGCCGAGCCGGGCCGAGCCGAGCCGTGCCCGCCGGGTTAAGGTACCCCGGCCGTGGTGCTGAAGGGACAGCTCCGCGTCGGCCGGGCAGGGAATGGGCAGGGACGGGTAGAGCCAGGCTGCGACCGGCCAGGAACAGGGAGCAGGCAGGGCAGGGGCATACATGTTCCGTGATGTTCCCCTCTCTTTCCCCTCTCCAGTGGTTTCCTGGACTCAGCTCAGTAGGGCAGGGAGGTGCCCAGGCACTACAGCTCTTGCTTCTACTCTAACATAGGGTCACAGAATCATAGGATGGTTTGGGTTGGAAGGCACCTTCAAGCTCATCCAGTTCCAGTCCCCTGCCACGGCCAGGGACACCTTCCACTAGACCAGTTTGCTCAAAGAGCCATCCAACCTGGCCTAATTTGAACACCTTTGTGAAGTTGAGTTTGTTGTTTGGGGTAAAATCACAGTGTTTAGAAAATAAAGGCATGGTAGATTGAAATGTCTCTTATAATTAGCATTGCACCACAGCATGGTATACACTGTGTTTATAGGCACTCTGCTATGTGTCACAGTAAGATTATTTTGAAGGGAAAATATTGGAAAAATATTCCCTTAAAATTAAATGCTTGAAGCATCCAATTACAGTAAAAGTGGGCTTTTGATGGGAAAGGTGTTTCCAGCACAAGTTAAACACAGATCCTCATGAAACTTCTGGCCCGGTGCAGCCTTTGAGTTGCTTCTTTCCCCAGTACACCATTAACAGCATCGCTCCCCTCTCCTACTGTGCTCCCCAGCAGAGGCTGGCATGCCAGCAGTTAACACCACCACGGATATTGGAACTCACTCAAGCAAAGAGCACTCCAGAAAGAACGCCAGGGTTTTGTCTTTTCTCTTACACTGGAGGAATGGGAAGAATGGGTCATGGAAGAGAGTCAGTTGAAAGAGTTGAATGGTTTGGTTGGGGAACAAGATTGGTTTGTGAAATGCAGCTTTTGACTGGAGGTACCCAGACGGTGCTGGTGAATCAAGGGGCGAAAGTCTGACAGAAGGAACTGATACCTCTGCCTGAGGTGTTCGGTTTTAATTTGCTTTCTTTGCCTTCTCTGAGAGAGTTCAAGGTAACAAACACAGCCCATGTGAAGGCTGCTTGTCACTGGATGGTGAATGCCCTTGATTTCAGCAGGAAATTCTCCATTCAATTTAATCTATTTATGTGAAAGAAGAAAGTAAATATTTTTGGTCAGCCTTATGTGAAATGAAAGGAGGATCAGCAGCGGAATCACATTTGGGGTGGGGGGAATGTGATCAGCGTATAAAGCTCTTCCACATTACAATGCATTCACTTTAAGCTTGTGACTGCTATTCCCCTCTAGTTTTATGTATGTGTATTTATTTATAGACCGTCAGAGACAAACAACTTCTACAAACTAATTACAGTGTGTTGCCCAGAGCACAAGGTACACATTATCCTATGCGGTGAAATGCATGGATACTCTCATGGATGCCTAAAATCTGCTGCAATTTCACAGCTACTCCCCAAGCAAATAGATCTGTCACAGAGGCAGCTGCACAGGCCAGGGTCAAAGCTAGCAATTGGGAATCACCGTGCTCCCAAGCCCTTGCCATCCGCTGTCCAGCCTCCCTAAAGCAGACCTGCTATTAGGCACAGAAAACAACAGGATGGAGGTGGTTAAGTCAACAGTTTTAGCAGGTTGTTAACAGAGTACAGGAGAACAGAGTGAAGAAATGTGCCAGGGCTCTTTGATCGCATTTTGCTCAGGCAGTTGCCTTCCAAACATTCAAGCTAATAAAAGCAGTTAACTTCTTTTTCCTTTCTGCCCCATGCACTTTATTTGTGACCTGCATGATTTACTGCTAAGGAACCTTCAGGGCTTGAAATACCTGTCCAGACTACTAAGTTGATCAGAGGTTCGATATAACTACAATGAATCTGCTTTTACGTCCATTGGCACAACTCACAGATGCCAACTCATCTCTACCGGCGAATGACAAATCTACGTGCTGTGTCCAGCTGATAGAGAGAACAGGGCCATTGCTTATAATGAGTCCATTGATTCTAACAGGTTCAAAGTCACCGGATAACTCAGGATGGGGAATCTCCAACGAAAATAAATGACATGCCCTTTTCACATCAGTTCCCCGCTTACGGAACAGCTTTGGAGCAGAAGCTGAATATAGCCCACAAGAGACAGGAGCCATCCTTCAGCAGCAAGGATAATGGACTGGACTGCAATGTACATCAGAAATAACCCACAGGAGTCACAGCTGTGAAGAACTGACCCGAGAGGAGCAGTGATTCAGCCACTTTGGGCTTTTGCCAGAGCCTCAGGAACTCTCACAACAGCTCCCAAGCCTGTCTCGGCTGCCAACCCTGCTCTGCCCTCTGCACATCGGAGTCCCAGGGCAGGGTAAATTTAGCAGAGCTGTCTCAGCACAACCTCCTTGCTCCTGCTGCAGCACAAGCTGGGTGTCACACAGCCGCAGTGACAACTACCTGTCCCAGGCCCAAGAATGGGTGCTAGTTCTGGAAAACCTGAGGCTTTTCCAGCTTATGCTGATGACCAGGTGCACCTTGAGAGCGTGTAGGTGGAAGAATTAGTCCACTTGTACATGTACTTATTCTCTTAGACTCTTCTCCCTGGTGAGTACAAGGGGACAGTGCTCAGACTCCCTGCTGGTGCACAGCCTCCAGTGGAGCTGCATCTTTGACCCTGTGTGGTGGCTGGCACCCAACTGAAGGGCGCTTTGTGTTCTTAGCTTTCTTCCTCTGCCTATCCTGACATGCCTGATGTGTCTCAGCTGCCATAGCTTAACTTAAAGGCCTATTTTGAGGACATAGCTGCTTTCCCCCACCCCCTGCTTGCCCATCAGATAGGTGCTGGTTGGACTGCCCTGGACAATCCCCACCTTCATCGTCACTTACCCCTTCTGGCTCTCCCACTCCTGATTGCTGACATGGAGATGGGAGGACCATGGGGTAAGGGAGGCTCCCCGAATCTCTGCATCTGCCCCTCTGCTCTGTAGGCTCTTTCCCCTCCTAGGGACCCAGTGGCCACTGCAACCCTTGAGGGTCTATATGAGCATTTCTAATGCTTAGTATAAAGAGGAGTAATACTGAAATCTGTCTCTCTGGGTCTTGCCGTGAGGAAAGAGGAGCAGCATCACCATTTGCTGACTTTTATTGGACAAAAAAGGTGTCCATCCTTTTTAGCAACAAAATCCCCATATCCCGGGTGCCATCGGTTTGAGGGACCTCTGAGCCAGCTTTGCCGCTCCCTCTGCTGGTGGCTGCTCTGTTCCCATGCCATAGCCGCTCTGATACTGCCGTTTCTGGGTGCACACAAGCTATTTCTGGCACCACAGTCCAGGTCCTCGTCATAGCTCTGGCGTGGCATTCGCTGATGTTAGTGCATTGATGGAGCTGTGAATCCAGGAGGAGATAAGAGGACAACGCTGCGCACAGCCAAAGACAATACACAGAAGATGCCAAGTGCACTTCAGATGCTTTGACAATAAAATAACAAACAAAAAACGTCTGGGAATTGATGTTTGTTGTTTGTAATTACTTTTATGAGAGTGGAAATCTTTCTTCCGCCACTATTCTTCCCCCTCAATCAAAGAGTGAAACGTTTAAACTGTTTCAAGTGTCCTTTGGAGAATTTTAAATGGAGAATGTGTGCATTTTAATGCCTGAGAATATTCACTGGTGCCTGTTTTCATAAACAGATACGTGCCAAATTCCTGATTTTCTCTCCTTTTTATTGGAAACCTCTTAGATTGAGTGCTCCGGAAATGTGGCTGAAACAAAAAGGTGATTTTGTACAGAAGAATGTGTCTGATATGATGTTCACGTGCTCAAGGACAGTGAAACACCATTTTGGCATCAGTGTGATTGAAATACGTCTTTCAGATACCTTTGCTTTTGGTTTGTGCAGCAGCGCAGGCAAGAAGCAGGGTGGGGAGCACAGTTCTGAATGTGCTTCTGCAGGGTCCCTGCTTAAAACCAGGACCATGCCAAGTGAACTGGACCCTGTTTGGTTAAAAGGAGAGTGACTAAATGGAGATGCACTGCATAATAAAGTGGGTTTTCAAAGGAGAAATCAGTTCTGTGGGTCCCTAATACACTGCATGAATTTAGAGGCAAGATTTTGAAGCGATGCTGAGCACCAAGTCAAGAAGTTTAAAGAAACCAGGACTTAGCAGGGGTGGCAGCTGACACACAAAGTGGCTAATAGCCCTTCTCTCCTGTGAGCTGTGATCCAGGATCAGTTGAAGCAATGGTGGGATTTCCTCCGTGTCTATCTTTTATGCGGCAGGCTCACCTTCTGGATTAATACAGGCACCATCAACCCTCGGAATAAATAAGAACCAGACTGAAAGCAAAGCCCAAATCAAGTAGATTTGGTAATTGAGGAAATCTGGTGGTTTGGCCAGGTCTGTGGGGCTCCTTTTCATCCTGTTATAACTCTAGTGGTCTAAGCAGTTTGCCACTGATGTTAGTGAGAAGAGAGGCAGATAAAACAAGGGGCTGCTAAGACAGTCGGTCCTCTATCCTAGCTACATGCTGCCAGGTTTGCATACCAATACTGCTTCCCTGGTGCTCTCTACCCAGGTGCAACAGGCTAATAAAGGGCTTTCTAGATGAGAAAGCTTCCTAGTTGCATCAGCTGATTGCCATCTGGGGGAAGTCTCTGACAAGGGCTTTAAATTTGCCACTGTTTGCCTTCTCCCAGCTGCAGAGGCTTGCAGAGGGGAAGCACAAGGAGGCAGGAAGGAAAGGCTCTGAGAAAAAGCACTCTCAGGGCTCCTGTCTGCCTCTGTCAGGGAGAAGATAAAGACTGAAGAGAATACAATAGGAAGGAGTCTGTCTCTCTGAGCAAGATTATTTACTCTAACCCTAGCTGATGCTTTGTGGGTAGCTGTCACAATGCAGATGCGTCTGGGATCAGGTTGTAATAGGAATTAGAACATGAGCACATTTGCAACAAGGGCTTGGTGGTCAAGTGTTACGTGTTTTTTAATAAGCTTGCTTATGTTTTATACTCCTAACCAGGAAATCCTTGGAATTTCTGCTCTGTGGATTCAATAAGGAATCAGCTGGGAGTCAGGGGGAGAAGTGATGCTGAGCCTGAATGCTTTCCAGCAGCCTGCTCTAACGTTTTGACAGGTAAGAAAAACAAACTGTGAGCTGCTATTTATTTTGGGCACCCTTTTAGAAGGAATCTCCACCAATGGAGCTGTAGAGCATCAGGCAGGCAGAGGCCTTGAGAGGCTGCTAAGCTCTGTCAGGATCAGTAGCAAACTTTTTCTCTCTAGTAATAACGCCTCACCTCTCTGTGCAGTGATTCATCTGGAAAGACTTGGGCAATTTACTGGAAGTACAATCACTGCCCTCTCCACTGACCACGTCTGTCTTTGTTTCCAGCGTGTGCTCACAGCACAGAGCAGCCATAGGAAATGAAAGCTGACAGTATTGAGTTCAGCACAAAGGCGGAGGTTAGAGGGTAAACCAGCTGCATCCCAGTTTTACTCCTGATGTTTGAAACCAGTAAGTTTTTTGTGCAACAATTCACACAAATGTTACTAAGCCTTTCTTTGGACAGCTTGAGTATTAAGGAGGGATGCTGGTGGCTCTTTGGTTGTTGCCTGGGCTGGAACATGAAACAAGCTAGGAAAATGCTGTTTAGTAGCTAAGACCACAGCAATGCTACCTATGGATAGATGGAAAATCCCTTGGGGCTGAGCTGCCCAGCAGCTCTGCTGCCTCATTTAAGACAAGGGGTTGGCTGGTCTGTGTGACCTGGGCTGTGCTGCAGCCTGTTAGCTCATTAAAGCTTGGGGCAACATCTGATAGATCATGGGAAGTCCCACCCAAACCTATCTATGGTTATATGGCCAGGCCAGGAGCTGTATGATGAGAGCACCAGGCTAGAGCCAAGAGCATCCCTTCCCTCCTTTTTCTGCTCTGCTGCTTTCCTGCATGTGTCCTGGTTTCCTCCCTTGCACAAGGGTGTTAAGGTAATTCCTTCTCTTTATAGTTTACTTGGACCCGTATGGTTTCAAAGTGCTTTATAAGACCCAGACAGTTTACAGTGGTGTGATGGTGCAGCAAAAGCATCCTGATCTCTGTAGGCTGTGTCTTGTGCTCTGGTAAAGCCAGAGATTTGGCTAGCTGTGTTTATATAGCTTGAAGGAATGACATGGTAGATTGCATCTAGCTTTGGTTAAGAGGGTCTTGAACAGACTGGAACTGGAGGGCCGGTAAACTTGGGCATCAGGCTAGTTTCTGTCACCTTTTCCTTGGGTGATACACAATAACACAGCTGCCAAAGTGATACCATCAGCTTCCAATTCTTCAGCCTCTTTCATAAAATAATTCTTTTCCAGCCTGCATTTAACGTCTGCAGCTGGTACCTGCTACCATGCATGTAAGATCAGGAATGGGAGGGGTACTTTTGTGTCTGAGCTGGCTCTGGGTGGAGATGCTGTGAGTTAAAATGGCTTTATAAAGCTCTCTTTAAACACAATAAAAGAAACATCTCTCTGCTTGTCAGCAGACTCCTTTCTATTGCAATCTGGGGCTGCCAGGTGCCTCAGAACTGCCTCTTCCCAGTCAGAACTGAAGCTTACTCCTCCTTTCTTCTTGTGTGGTGTTAATTTCTCTCTGTCATACCCTTCAGAGAAAGGCTGAACATTTGCCTTCGTGTTCCTCAGTCCTGCCAGTGAACACCTGTGGCTCCTGAGCATTTACAGAGTTTGACAGCCCATGCTCTTGAATAAGCAGCCTCTTGCATAAGGGCTCAGACGTGCAAAGAAGAAAGTCCTTGCTGATAAGGTCTGCACTTTCAACAGCTATTTCTGGGGCAAGGTGTTGGGAAAGCAGGAGCCGTAGGGGATGTGGGAAATCAGAGATGCCAGTCATTGGTCCATGATCACTGAGCTGTACCACAGCACAGTCGCTTAGGATCAGTGGGGAGGTGAAGATCTCTGCTGCAGCTCAGCTATTATCCATCATTGAAACGGGAGGAGAAAGGGAATTGTTAGTTAAATGGTTAATAGCTGCCTTCTCCCTGCTTTTCGTTCTGCCCTCTAGCTAGATGTAAGTAGCTACAACTCCAGCACTGAAGCCTGATGAAAGAAAGTGAGTATGAGTCAGAGGCAACCTGCACATTTCCCCCTTTTTTTGTGCTTTCCTAGAAGTCTTCCCCACTGGCAACAAATCCTTGTACTTTTTCCCACCATCCTCCCTATCTCAATGCCAGACCCGGTGTCTGATATTCAACTGTCTCTTGCTAAGGCCGGCAGAGGCAGTGTCACTCAGTCCGATGTCTCCAGGTTGCTGCCCTGCTGATGTGATTGTCACTGACGTGGGAGCTGTTTGCCTAGCAGCCTGTGAGGGGACTGCTGGTGCTCGCTGTTGGGGTATGCGATGACTGCCCACAGTGTCAGTGGTACCAAGGAGAACTCTCTGCTCATGCATCAGCAGAGGCTCCTCAGGACATCTGCAGCACTGACACTGCCAGAAGGCGCCTTGGAGTCTTTGCATCATGGATTACAAACATGATTTTTCCACTCCTTGATCTAGGGACAAGATAGTGTTTCATTGAGCTCTGCAGATCCAGCCCAAATGGGGAGAATCGGTAGGAAAGGGGAAGAGATGGGAGGTCACCACCTCTGTCAGCTTTGCCTCCTGAGGGGCATCTCTTTCGGGTGCTCCTCTCTGGCCTGTGTAAGGTTTAATGGCAGCAGCTGCTGCTTTATAAGCAGATCCTGCCTAGGATGGTCCCATCCTGTGGGAATTGCTCTCTCTGGAAGTGTTTCAGCCTGGTTCTTGTCCTGTGCTTGGTCACAGCAAAAATACCAAGCTTAGACTTTAGGCTGGGCAGTAAATGCTGGAGCTGCACCCCTGGCTGCCTCTGCTCCTTCCCCTTCAAAAGGTCTCTCGCTCTTCAAAACTCACCCTTGGGCAGGAGCTTGTCTCCATCAGTTCCCTCCCCAGTTACAAACCCAGGGTCATAAATGGGAAGACTGGTTAAAACTTGGAAGAAGGATTTACTTGTTCCCTTTGATCGCCTCAATACCAGCCTCTGTGCAAGCCTAATGTGGCAACCCCCTTCCTGAGAGTGTAATTGACCGTCATAATTGCGGGGTTTCATTCTCCTCTGGAGTTTCCCCTTAAGGGGCAGATGAGGATCGCAGTCTTGGAGAGCATCTCTCATTCTGCATAAAACTGCACCGAGGAGCTGGACATAAACAGCCAGCCCTGGAGTTTTCCTCCCACAGATGCTCTGTAGCTCCCTAGACCTCTCTTGCTCTGATGACCCCTTCACCCTTGGGAGTGTTTTGGCTGGAGGAAGCAGCAGATAAAATCCTGAAGCTAACAGCAGTGCTGTGGATGTGTCGGGAGAGATTGGGCTCTCTTGGTGCAGATGATTATGGAGTGAGATCAGCTGCTGACAGAAGCTCGGGGGAACGTGTTCAGGAATCAGCACATAATCTCTGCCGCTGCCTCATTTTTTTGTGTCCGTTTCTGGAGGACAATGAAATCGCACTGAGTTTCTGCAGCAGTGGCTACAGATGGAGTTTGCAGCCATATAAGTACAAAGTATTGCCCTTATAAATGATTTAATCGCTTTTCCTCCATGAGAACTGACCCGTCAACCCCCAAAGAACAAAAAGAACGTTTTCTCTCAAATGCAGTTCAGCATTATCAGATGTATGACACAGAGATCCCAGTGGGCCTGCTTGGTCTGTTTGTGCCTGTTTTACTGAAGGGATGGCCATAAGAGTGAATCCCTGAGTTACATCACAACAACCAGAATCTGAGCCAACCCTCTCGTCCCTGTTCTGATGGATTTATTCCAGACCAGAGGAAGTCTCACCATCTCCAACCTTCCTGACTTGCAACCAAGACTGTGGCCATCTCCAAACAGTGTTTTTTGTCCCGTTTGAAGGCAGGAGGTACCATTTGGGACCATTTGGTTTCCTGTTGCACCCTTTGCCATGAGGACAGGATGGTTTCCAGTTAGGGTTCTTTATAGTCTGGAAAAACATTATAAACTTTTAGCAGACCCATAAATATCAGCTCTGTGGCATCATGTGTTGTGGTTGGCTACGCAGTCACCTCTTCCTCATAAGTCCTTGAAACTATAAATAGAGGAAAGTGTTGGGAATGGCCAATTTGAGCATTGAGAAAAGGCTGAACAATGCTGTGACTTCCAGAGATCTCACCCAAAGGCAAGGATGGATCAGGGCTGACTTCTTACCAAGTGATTTCTCCCTGATGGAAAGGACTGGCAAGGCGGGATCATCTTTGCCTTTTGCATCAGGAATGTGGTCTGTCTTATGTCTGAGGAGCAAAGGAGTGATCTGGGGGCAACTGTAATTGCATTTTTGGAGTGAGTTCTTGGTCAGATTTTAACACTGTGACATTATGCTTCTTGTGATGAGTGTAATTAAAATAAAGTCAAAATAACATCTTTAAGCCTGTGGCCAAGCCAAAGAGTCAGGGATGGGTTGAGCTCCAAGGAAGAGGGTGGAAAAGAGAAGAGGGCGCAAGGGACAAGCGGATTGTTTTGAAAGACAACTATGAAGGAGGAGAAAAGAAAACAAGAAGGCAGAGTAAGAAAAGCCAGAGGCTACCCATAGGGATAATGGCACTTTTGTTCATTCCAAACTTATCGCAATTTCTAGATCCTGATATACTTTTGTTTGGAGTCCAGCTGCGTTTTTTGGTGTATGAGGAAGGGACCGGGTGCTTTTATGTGCCTATTTAAGCTTTTGCCATTTTCTGACCCTTTTTATTGGGTCTGTTTAAGCTTTTACCTTTTTCTCAGGGTCCACTTAAGAAGCCTGGAGTCAGCAGGACTCGGGCTGAGCAAACATCCCTCAACTGGTGAAAGTAACCTCTGGAAATACCTTGCAAGTTGGATCTTAACACCCTGCTCTCCCTACAAGGGACCTTCGTGTTATGCTAGCCCATAAAGCAAAAAGACAGTGTTTTCCCAGTGCCAAAACCAAGCAGCTCTCAGCTTGTGTCCTGCCCAGTCACCAGCCTTTGCTCATGCCAGGTGCCTGGGGCTTTGCAGGGAATCAATAACCTGAGGGATCTGCCCAGTGAGGGATGTCTCAGCAGGGATTTCCACGTTTTGTTTTATTGGCAAATATTGGTAGCATTTTTACCCAGCTCCTGGAAACAAATGAATGGGCTTTTCCATTCCTAACATCTGCACCCGTTACTTCTTTCACCATATAGCAAGCTGAGGACTAGTGCTAACTCACAACTTCTAGGGTAGCATTCCAGGTGTCCAGGCTACTACTCAAGGCAGATGTCTGTGTGCTGTGGGGATCTGTCAGGCTGTCCAACAGCAAAGACCTACAGAGCCCATCATGTACCCTAAAGCATGAAGGCAGAAGGTCTTTGATGATCTGGACTACAGTTAGTGACGTGGCTTGGTGCTGTCTTAGTGACATGCAATAGGAATGACCATTGCTTCCACTATAAGAACACACACGTAGCTATCTCCCTGGCTAATGATGGTGTTTGTTGGAGGAAATGGTCCCTTGGCTAGATCAAGAGCTGAAGGAGGAATGGTCTGTGAAGGCTGTCCCAACTCCAGTCTCTAGTAAAAGCCTCGTTTGGTGATTTCCACTGAAGAAATGGCAATATCATTGAGAATCTGCAGCTTGGTGATGGATGAAAGCCGCTTCTGCCGATGCTTGTACTGCAAGATTTTGTTTTCATCAATGAAAATGTGGAAATAGTCCTGGTCAGAGTAGATTTCAACCTGAAAGAGAGACTGTGTTAGGTCCACCCTGTGGCCACATGTCCTCACTGGACCTTGCTGCCATCATGTCTGTGAGAGCCTGGATATGGGTGCGTGTGTCTGCAGCCCAGTAGAACCCTGCCAGGTCTCACACACACACTGCTCACCCCCGTTTTGGGAAAAGAGAGAGAGAATAATTGTGTTCTTTGCTTCATGATAACAGAAACTGGTGATAAAGCAAAGCCTAAATGGAAAACAAATGGAGCATCCAAGAATTACTGCTAGAGCTCTGTGTTTCTGTGCCAGAGCTGGGTGTAAATCAGCAGCAAATCAGGGTACAACAGAAATACTAACAGGAGACAGAGCCAGAAAGGGGATGCTACTTTGTATAGTGCTGCAGGAAAAGCAGGGCTAGATCCATGAGGAGGACCCCGGTACCAGCTGGGTCACTCCTTTCCCACCACTGAGGACATCTATGGGGTGACAGGGGGTTACCTGGAATGACTCCTTTGCTTTGAAGGGGAAGGTGTTATTAACCTCTTCCTTCCCCCAGTGGTTGGCAAGGAAGGAGTTGCAGACGATCCTGGAACTGGAGAAGCGAGGATTGAAGTGGAGAGCAATCTGGTCTCCAGGATCACAGAGCAAATTGATTTCAAACCTGAGACAGGGAGAGAAAGAGGAGATGGAGTGATGCTGCTGCCTCTTGTGAGCTGCGATTGCTGCAAGCAGTGTCCTTACATGCTTGTGCTGGAACTGGTCTCACCCTTGACCACGATGCTCCAGCCGGGACACATCCCCTCTGGGTACAGGGCCTCGAACTGCCGACAAGGAGATGATGGTGAAGCATGGTAAGGTGGGAGAGGTGCACAGCCCCATTTTTTCCTTATACTTCTCCATCTTTCTCATCCTGTCGTCGTTTTCTCCTTTCTTCCCCATTCCCATTCAGGTATTCTCTGCCCCTGCCTTTTTCTCACTTCAATACAATCTCAGGGGCTCTGTATTGATAAGAAATGAAGCTGCTCCAACATCCAGGGTATGAAGTGGGGTTTGCTGTCCCTGAGGTCTTTTGTGAAGAGCTGGGTGGGATCAGGGAGCAAAAGTTGAAGAAGAACCTGGATGCCTTCATCGCCAGCAGGACACAAAGACACTGCTTCTCTGCCCGCCTGGGCAATACAAGATCTGAAGCAGAAAACTTTGAGATGCTTCGAAGCAGGGTGCGAAAGACAAGGAATGGGTGTAACATGGCATCCAGCCTGTCCTCATCTAGCATTGCAGGGGGGCCTTTTCCTATAAGCTCCTGCCTGATCCCCCATTCCACCTACACCCCATCTCCAAGTTTAAACTGGCACAAAATGACCTGGAAAATGTTATTTTTCTTTTTAATAATACATAGTTTTGTTAAATAACTCATTTTAATAAGAAGTGCTTGGTCATCTCACCCTGCTTTTTTTAGCATTCTAATGATCCTGCATTTCTGATCATCCCTCTCTCCCGGACTTATTGCTTGCACTGGAAAGACCTTTCTAGCCTTGGCACCTCCACAGCCTTTCCCTTCCTGTTTCTTTATCTGCCATGATGCCTCATTTTCCAATGCATTTTTGGGATATGCACGTTTTGAGGCAGGAGCTGAGACATGACCATGGCTAACCTCATGCCCTTGTGTCTGTCTGCTCTCGGAGGGCAGCTCTGGGAACCTGCACATGGTTGTTTAAAGGCTCTGACCACACCAGTGTTCACCCCTGTGAAACACAGAGAGCTGATGGAGCTGATGTTCCTTTTTTAAACCAGTGCTGGTGGCAACAGCCAGGTTCACCTTGCCTTAATTCTTGGCTTGTCATCATTGCAACAAGCCCAGCAAAACGTACACCATGAGCACAGCAAACAGCAGTTCCCTCTTTGCTGCTGGCTGTCCCAACAGGGACGGATGGCAAAGCATTGGCTGGATTTCAGTCTTGGCTCAAACCCTCCCGGCCAGAAGTGCTGAAGCGTTGCCCCAGACCAGCCCTAGCATAATCGAGACTAACATCTGTCCTACTGACCTTTATTGAGAGCCATGAAGGTCACAGTTTTGCAATAGCCTGGACCAGACTGAAATAGGGCAGCACCACAAGTAGCATCCCCACGTCTTTTGGGATTTGTATCTTTCTTGCTCTTATCTCTGCCACTTTCCTTTACCTACTCTTTGACCCCATGCCCTCAGACAGACCAGACTGTGCCAGATCTTGTCCCCAGCACTTACCCTCAATGCCATCCTCTTGCCTGTCCTTGTCCTGCAGACCCACCTTGGGTGCATGGCTGGAGGGGTCTATATAGAGGCCACCAGCCTGGGGCCCACATATGTGGGGATTAGCATCAACAGGAGCTGAGGTCTTGCTTTCAGAATGGGCTGGGACATGGGGAGCAGTAAATCCTGGTGCCTGCCCAGCGGGGTCAACCTGCTCATGCGTGCAGGGCTAATCCAGCTCTGCTGCTGCCTGCACAAAGGCAGCGGTGACCAGGCAATCCTGAGCTGTGAGTGATGGAGCTGGCATGCAGCAACGATGGGCAGACAGGCATTCACACTGTGGTCTGTGTGTAATGCATGAAGGAAGGATGGATGGCGGCTCCCAAAGCTCAAGAGATACTGGGAGTCCCATCCACTGCAAGGTCCAGAGGGAGGGGAGGTGGCTCCAAAGGGGCTCAGCTTCACCCTGACCATCAGAGGTTCCTTTTCTCCCTGTTCTCTTTCTATTCACTCCCTGTGGGTCACAGCCTGGTCTGAAAGAAGCTGATGCCAGCTCTGTCAGAGCTGCTTTTCCACCTCACAGCACCCTGGTGTTGGTGGGACTCGGGATGCTGCTATGCTGAGCTCAGCATGCCCCAGTTCTGCGCTTCCCTTCCCCGCTGGGGACAATACAGGGATTTGGGAGCCTTTGTCCGATATTTCCTGTCATGGAAAAGCACCAAGAAATGAGCAGCGATGAAATGAATGTCAGTGATGGGGATTTTCAGGCTGACAGTCAGCATGTACAGCTGGGTGAAGCGAGCCAGGGAAGGGAGGGGTGGGTGCACCCCCTCCTCTTCACAGGGTAAATGCATTAAAACCAGATGCTGGCCCCATCCCTGCATGCACAGGAGGCTGCAACGCTTCCCGGCTGGTCCTACAGGACTTCATGGCTTTCATGGTTAAAACTTCCTCGCTGTATGGGCAGCAGTGCTGATGTTACTTAATGTGTTTACTCTATTTCCAGCAGATAAGCAGAATGGGAGCTGCTATCCCAGGCTCTGGTGCCCTTGGCAGATGATTAGAAATGCAATCCAGGGAACATAGAAGCCAACAGGCTCTCTCGGGGCTGAAAAAGCCAAGTCCCAGCTGGGATTTGCCCATTTGGACTCCTACAGAACTGAAGCTTGTGAAGCTGAGCTCTGCCGTGGTTCCCTTGCTCTGTGCCAGGGAGCAGTGGAGCAGAGCTCTGTGCTACAGATGGCAGCATTGGGACGTGCAAAGGAGCCGTGAGCCAGCAGCAGAGGTGTTGAGGTGGTGGGGCCAGGGCCAGGGACATCCCACCCACGCATCCCTCCTTGGGCTGCCATAGGATGCTGGACATTGGCCTCTCCAATGTGCCCGGCTGTGTTTTCACCCTTAAATCATCCCTCCCTGACTGTTTCTCCTCTCAGTCAGGCAAAAGACTGCAGGGAGAAGGGACTGTAAGGAGAAGAGACCGTTTGTGGGATGCTGGACAAAACCAGACTGCATTGCAGTCCTGCACATAGGAGAGGAGTGAGCTGCAAGCTAAATAACTGTGCTAGGTTTATCATAACTATGCTAATGAAATCAGTGCACTGGGGAAGGCTTGGGCACCACAGGCCAGGTCATGGTGCAGTGGGCTAACAGAGGATGTCAAGCCATGGTGGGACAAATGCCATCTCTTTTCCTTGCCCAGAGGCTGCATCTCA